CCTGAACCCAGCTCAGGTCTGAGGCTGCAGGACCTGAACCCAGCTCAGGTCTGAGTCTGCAGGACCTGACTCAGACCTGAGCTGGGTTCAGGGTCCCACACTGCCAGCTCTGCACTTTTATTCTCAGCCTAATCCAGATTTTGTTCCACATTTAAAAAGGTCAGCAAGTTTGAAATCCCCCGAAAAATAAACAATAAATATAGACTATTAAGTTATCTGTAAATGACCGAATATAAATTATATTTATTTATTTATTTCATGCTTTAAAAACACATTTAGAGTTTTTAAAGAGGAGATTCTGTCTGAGCTTGACTGTCACACCTAGAAGGATTAAATAAACAGGTTTTGCACCTGATCCAGTGAAACATGATGCAATAATAAACGGTTCTGATCGAAGCTGGTGGGTGCGGTGTTTAAATGAGTCACCGGTGATTATTACCCGGTTCCGCAGGCTACGTCCAGAACCCTCCGGACCCCGTGTTGTTTCAGCAGAGCCACCAGCCAGCTTTTGTACTCCTGGGTTCGGCTCTGAATGTCTCCGATGTACAGCTCCCACACTTTGGCCGCTTCCCCGTCCGCGTACTGGTCCGGAAGACCCACGGCCGCCACGCCGAGAGACCGGGTTCGGAACACGCTGTCCACCGACATGCTGCCGCCGCTGCTACCGGGTCAGACGGTCTCCTGTTAGCTTACACAGCGAAGAAACGGGGAGTTCGTTCAAGCTGCTGCTTTATGTTTGTGTGATGAGACGTGTTTATTCTCGTGCAGGTTCTGCCTCCATGCTAACCTGAGTTCAGTTATTATTATTTATACAAACAGCGCAGGGACAAACTTTCAGCCAATCACCTTCCGCTGCGGAACACCTCCTACTCTCTGATTGGCTGAAACAAATAGAGACCGCCCATTTTTGTGTTACGTCTGCGAGCGTCCCCTGCGTGATATCACAACGGTATTTTAACCCGCAGTTAAGACTTACAGGATTACCAGCTTGCAGATAGCGCTAACCCGATATAGGAATAATCAATTACTTAAACTAAATTTTATTTTGTTTGCTGTAAGGTTTTATATAAAGAAGGATATGTTATATAATAATACTTAAAACATGTCATAAAGCAATTATGCCTGTCAGTCTTCACTCTGGGCTGCATTAAAATAGAAATGACATTAAGTTTTGACATGCTGGTTTTTTTTTTTAAACAAATCACACATTTTCTCTATTAAATGCATCGACAGTGACAAGTTTTAATCATTACAAAATCTCTTTAGTATGGCTTTTATTTCATTCATCACACGAGACCATCTAATGCAGTAAAACGTGGCCCAGTTCCAGTTTTTCTGTTTTGTAAACAGTGAACTCCTCCTGCTGGGATTGGCTCCCACGGTTCAGATAAACTCCCACTAAACTGGCAGAGGTGAGGTTGTGTCAGCCACGACCAGTGCTGTCCGGTCCGGCTGGGTCCAACCCAGTCCCATCAAGATTAAAACAATGCTCCACGGTATAACCTTTTTGAAATATATTTTTATTTATTTATTTTTATTAATTTTATTTTAACTAAGTTAAACAAAGTTTAGACAGCAGTCTGGAACTCGTGTTGGAAATGTTAAAATCACAGAGCAAATTTATTTATTATTTACCCCACAGGTTACTTATTAGCTCTTTTTGTAAAATGTTATGTTTGCAAACACAAAAAGTGGCAGTAGCAACTGGCTGTAGCACATCCAATGCAGCCAGGAGCACAAAAATCACAATGTTTTTAATTGTTCTTGGACAGAATTTCAATGTAGACAAAAATATTATTAATTATTACTCTATATATTTACTTCTGAAATGTTTTAATTGTAATATAATCTGCCTTATTTTTTCCCTTTTTTGTCTCAATTTTATTTTAAATATCCTCTTTACAACACAGATCAGATGGACTGTGGAACTTGACAGAACTAAATCCCTTTTTATTTAAGAAGAACACATGATAAGTTGAAACATTTCCATTTTTGTTATTTCACACAAAACATTTAAAAATACTAGTTAATGCAGTTTGGAGTCAAATCAAAACAAAGTATAAAAATAAATGTCATTCATTCATAAATTTATCAAATATATTACCTTTTTTATGACACGCCATTATAAAAGTCAGGCAGTCAAGTAACTGCCTGTGTCTCTCTGTTAGCAAAATTTCTCATGAATCAGTGAACAGATTTTAATGAAACTCTCAGGAATTAATTGTTAGATGAACAATAACAACTGTTTAAAATTTGGAGCCAATCCAATTCAAGATGGACGCCACAGCTAACTGAACTTAGAAAACACAAAAATGTCTATAATTCAGTTAGTTTTGCAGATACTGAGCTGAAATCTGGTGTGATAGTAGCTGAGAGTCTRCTCKACATTAAACTCYCACGAACAGATTGWATAAAATTTGTGTTTAAAAGCCTGGCACACCGGCAGGCAATATGCATTATTWTTATATAATGTTATAGAGCTCAAAGTCACCAATAAATTAACAATAGCTTGTTTAATATAACCATTAAAACTTTAAAATCCTGTTGAGRTTAAAAACTCTGGCAGCTTTTTTAACAAACATTTTTACTTTATATTTAAAAATAACTTGACTTTGTCAGATGAGCTCATTAAACTGCAACATTTCATGAAAAGTTAAATATATCTGTTTTTCTGACCTTTTTACAAAAGTAGATTTGGATTTTTTTATGTTTTGATGAAGGGAATTAAGAGAAAAAGAAAAGTTGAAAAAAAAAACCCAGACACTTGAGGGCTCTCTTCTACATTCAGGTACATCATCCATGTTAATGTTTGGATTATTCTTCACTTGTGTTGATGTTTCTTCATATTTTAACAGTTTTTAATTTTGCACAACAGATGAGAAACAAAGTCTCAAAGAATGAATATAAATTTGTCATTTTCAGACTCCATCAAACRGTAAAGATCCGGTCCGTTCTCTAAAACTCAACATTCTCTCCAGGAGCAGCAGATTGTTGGCTTTGTTCTCTGCGTTTCTGACGTTTAACAACATGAAACCTGATCAGAAACACGGACACAACCAGCATCAAGGCAACCAGGACCCAGATCCAGAGAAAAACCCCTCCGGGGTTTGCGGCGCTCCTCGGGGTGACGTTTTTAGTGGCTGGTTTAACGAATACGGCTACGGGAGTTGTGACGTCAAACGCTTCGGCTTCTGCGGCCGGGACGCAGTCGACGTGATCTTTGAGCACGGACCCTTCACCGCAGAAACACATAAAGCTCCCAAAACTGTTTAAACAGCCATGCGAACACTGACCCATCTCACATTCATTTATGTCCTCGCAGGTTTGTCCACTCAAGATGAATCCATCTGGACAGGAGCACTGATCTGGACTGTGACAAACTGCAGGACACGTCTTCTGTCCACAGAACAATCTGCACTTCCTTGGGTAAGTTCTGTCGGGTTTATATCCTTTAAAACAAGAACATTTATATCCTCCATTTACGTTGAAGCACTGGTGCTCACAGGGACCATCTTTGCAGCCGTTTGAGTTTTTAAATATCCTCTCTTTTTCCTGGCAGGCGTGTTGTTGTTGGGTTCTGCACATGAACCCWTCAGCTTTGTCTGAACACAGACTCTCTTCCCACTCTTGGTGGTCTGAAAGTGAAACGCAGCGTGGAGAGCAGAGTTTAGAGTTTTCTGTCCAGATGATGGACGATGCAGAATGAGTCCCGTTTCCAGAAGTCCACCGGTATCCTCTGAGCGGAGCCGAGGGGCCGCRGCAGGACCCGGCTGGCAAACGGATTCCGATCCAGAAGCTTCCAGACAGTGTTTTACTCAAAACATCAAAGATTCGCTGATGAGTCTCAGTTGGAAGCGTCAGAAGTTCCCCGTGCTTGTCACGACACGATTCCTCTGCTGACTGAAAATCCACCCTGTCCCAGTTCACCGTGATGCAGTCCTCTTCAGAACACACAGGCAAGCAAGGACCAGAARCGGCTCGCTTCAAACCTAATCCAGGTTCAGTGAACAGTAAAACCACTGCCAGGACCAAAACATTCATATTCATTTTCCTAACGGGCTGAGAAGCCGTCTGCTGCAGTCTGACAGGGCAGAGTCATGAAGTACTTAACTCCGGAAACAGGATCCCCCTACGGGTCCCACAGAACCAGGAAGGAAACCAGATGAAGGCTGCTGTTCTTTTCCAAGCAGTGCCCTACAAAGATATGAACTATAAACATCTGGAATGTGAAAACAAACATCCTTATTGTGTCATTAAAACAAATGCAGTATACCCATTTATTAAAGAAAAAAAATAAACCACACAAGGTCATTAAAATAACTCAAAACGGTTAAAAAAAACAACTAAAAATCATTTGGTAGTTATTGCTTATTATTGCTAATGAAACTGGCCTTGATTAAAATAATTATACTCCAAGAAAAATCTAAGCGACATGTTGAACTGAGGTGTGTCCTTTAATCAGCATCACAGGTATCAAGGTGTACCAATGGAGCAAAGAAAGCCGAGGACAGAGTCTCAGGAGCTTAGAAAGAAAATTATGGAGCAATTAAAAGTGAAGACTACAAAACAACCTCCACACAGCTTCATGCTCTTGTGACAGAAGAGCATTCAGAAAGTCCACAGGACTGGAGACAACCTTTGGACATGTCCACAAGAGGGAAAAATAAAACAAATGGATAATACCAAGGGTAATCATAAAGCCCATAAACTTCCAAAGAGATTAGAGGTCAAAGTTCATRCATGTCAGATCGCACCACATTTTGTTTAAATGGAACTTGCAGTGTTTCCAACACCTTTTTTCCAGAGTCCGTCCCTCAAAATGTCTGCCAGCAAAGATCTGTGGACACATCTATGAAAACAGCATCAGATGATTTACGCCACTAGATGTCACCAAATAACTAAAGCCAAATGTTACTTATCAAAACAGTTTATTTAGATTTTTGTCACATGACAGACAACATGCACTTTTATTTACAACGGTACTTTTAAAATTTGTGGCATTCCTGACATAAATCTAAAAAAGAAGCACTTTTTTTTGTCATATTATACATTTCTGCATGTTGGCAGACTTCCTCAATAAGACAGTACCACTGACAAAACTGTGCAAAAGTCCTGATCCAGCACTTGATTTTGATATTTTCATTACAAGCAGCCAAACTTTCTTGTAACCTTTTATAATCCAGTTTTTTAAAGGCCTTTCAGTTTTTTAATCGGACTTTAGAAACAACAGTGACATCTGACAACTTGGAAGAAAGAAAAAAAAAGAAACATTTTAGAACTTTAGCACAGTTCTGTAAATGTCAATCAAATGTATTCTATGTACAGTCATAAAAATGGGACAAAATAAATCAAAAAGACAAAACCTGCAGTGTTTAGTCATACTGGTGGTTGATATGCTCTTAAATTAAAGTTTTAAACCAACATTTTATAACCAGATTCCACTTTAACTACRGAAACAGGAAAACTACTTTCCAACATCATTATTTGATATGTTTCTGAATAACCTATATGTTTGATATATTATCCAACAAGTACCTTTAAAGTCAGTGATTTGGTAAGACCTTTATAATATTTTTAAATATCCACAGTCTTTATCTTGAAAACAAATGGAGGTAATGGGATCATATGCTAAACAGCAAGAAACCATTAAAACATCAGGTTTAGGTTCTGGGTAAAACTGATTGCATGTGTGCATTTTGTTCCATTGTTTGCTGGTAAAATGACTGGCACCACCCCAYTCCTAAGAATAACACCTCCACACCCAGAACCCTTCATACAATAAAAGGAAGCAACTTTTAACAGCTTTACTATGGAAACAACCACAGYTTTCCTGTTAGACGTGTTAATTTTGGCTTCTTAAAAAGTTCCAAAGACAAATGACTGTTTGGTTTCCATTAAAGGTTTTTATATGCAATGTGTAGCTACAAAAACATAAATTACATAAATAAAAATAAACATAGACAGTCTTTGTTCTCGTRATCAGGTCATAGGTCATCAGTCAGGATGGACTCGTACAGTTTCTCAAGACGTGGGTCCAAACCAGGCGACACCCAGCAATAACCGTCAGCTGATGTCTTCTTCTTCACCTCCTTCTTGGTGCGACTGCATCGGAAAACGATAATGAACAGAGTCAAAGTGACCAACAGGAAGAGAGGGATGACTGATCCGAGGACGCAGATGAGCAGCTTGGAGTTGCTGGACTTGGTTTTGTTAGTTGCCATGGTCCAGTTGCTTTGATRYCGGTCCGTGACATTGACCAGGTCCGACTGGGGGGCATCGGTGTGAGGGGACAGATGTTGGAGCCGGACATTGACCAGGTCCGSCRYGGGGGCATCGGTGTGAGGGGACAGATGRTGGAGCCGGACATTGACCAGGRCCGGCCYGGGGGCATCGGTGTGAGGGGACAGATGCTGGAGCCGGACATTGACCAGGTCCGGCCGGGGGGCATCGGTGTAAGGGGACTGATGCTGGATCTCCACCGTGGTTCTGGTTAAAGACTCTGTGAAGTCTTGTGTTTCCACATCCGATGGGGCAGCTGGTGTGACGGGCACGTGTGTGGGGGTCTCTGTTGACACGTCGGTCTTCAGTTGATGGGTGCAAATAAAGCTTCCCACGGTGTTAATGCACGTAAAGTCACTCAAACAGGGATTACTGGCACAGAGGTCAYCGTCTACACACGAGTGTCCATCCTGGGACAAAATAAACCCCTCTCTGCAGTAACAAGAAAWGGATCCGTTGTCGTTCAKGCAGCCGTACTCACATCCTAACCGRMCACACTCATCAGCCTGTCTACAGTCACCATCGATCATATCGTAGCCGTCTTCACACACGCACGTGTAGCTGCCGGGCGTATTGACACACACACGATCCCGACAGGCCTCTGATTGGCACTCGTCGATGTCGGAACAGTTGCGTTGGTTTTCACTCAGCCTGAACCCGTTTGGACAACTGCAGATTATCCCCYACTCCCCCGTCACGCACTGATGCTCACAGGAGTCAGGACCACAGAGATCTTTGGCCCTGCAGGAAAACCCATCATCCTCCAGCTRAAAACCTTCTTTACAAAAACAACGAACAGCATCTAAATCTTGATGGCACAAGTGTTCACATCCACCGTTGTTGATCCCACAGTTTTGTTTTTCCAGTTGGCAGAATGGACCAGGATCAGTCCAGCTGTAGTTGTTGTTTATGTTGTTGCACACAGAGTACACAGACTTRGATTTACCACAAAAAATATCTGCAAATGTTCCTATTGGAAGTAATTGAATCCCACTTTTCATTGGCTCTCTGGAGAAAGGAAGGGTGTAGGTAACGTTACCTGTTCCCAGCAGAGACAAAGGTCTACACATCCCCCTAAAAGAAAACTTACACGCATAAAGGGCTGTGGATCTGCACGCCGTTTCGATCCATTTTAGCTGGTCTGGATGTGCAGCTGTGTAATCAGCCTTTACACATCTATCCAGCGAGCATGTGTGGGAAGGCTCCGTTTTCCAGTTGGAGTACTGGGAATCTTCCTCCCCAGAGATCCACTTGAACCCTTTGAGCGTCTCATCGGGCAGCATGCAGTCGTTTTTGTTCCGTTTCAGTCCGATCCAAACTTTAAACCTTTTGCTGTGATGTGTTCTGATTAGCTCGAGGAGCGTGGACTCTTCGCTTTTGTCTCTGAGGGTCATCAGGTTGCCTCCGTTGTCCTCACAGTCCTTCTGGGCCCCCTCAAAGCGCAGCTCCTTGTGATGCAGGGTGAAGCAGGCGTCTGAAGTGCACAACGTTTCATGTTTGGCTCCAGATGAGCTCTGAAAGCTGTAAATGAGCTGCAGGAGCAAGATCYTCAACATATTTGCCAATAAACCCAACAGCAAATCAATTAATATTTAGAGCTTCAGGTCTGTGGTCGTCCATTCGTAGCAAAAGAAGAAGTGAACATTCATGCTCTAGAATCCTGTTTAGAGCTCAAACTATAGACGGAAATCGTGTTAAGAAAAGGTAACAACGCCTTTCTCTCGCCCCAGCTGACTGGTTCCGTTTTGAATATATAACAATGAAATGGCACTCAGTGTTTTGTCTGCCTCTCCAGATGTCTCCGGCCCCCGAAGACTCTGGCTCTTAAACAAACTCCTGTAATTGTGGCGCCTCACACAACACKAGAACACACAGGGGTCAGCGACTCATGAACACTGTGACATGAACAACTGTGGAGAGGAAAACAAGCTCTGCTGCTGCTGTTCTTACAGGAAATCAGCTGATCTGCTCCTATGAAATCAGATTTTATGAAACCAAAAATAAAAATACAATAATACTGAACATTTAATAACCTCACATTTATTCTGCCTGCATAATGACACGTAATATTTAATGTTTTGTGATCTCACCTTAGTTTTTTCTGTGTGTATAGTAACTGAGTACATCTACATTGTTACTGTATGTAAGTAATTTTTTTGAGCATTTGTAATTTTTAACAAGTATTTAAAAAATTATATTCAAAACATAAAAACGATCCTTTTTACTTCTTTACTTGACTGAAACTCATAAAAGGTTTTGTTTATACACAAAACGTGAAGTGTAAAATTAAAAAAATGACATAAAATTAACTGGTTCCACTAAACCCAGTTTAAATAAATGTAAAGAAATTTACTCAACTCGGTTTAGTTAAGTAAACTCAATACTTCCTTTCTTAGTGTGTAAAAGTACTTTTGCTTTTACTTTCCTGATTATTGTGAGCAGTTTTATGACTTTTACTTAAGTACTTTTGTTGTCAAGGAAATTAATTAAAAGTCATGTTCTGTTAAGGTATATTTTACTTACTTATTTCTTTCAAATACTTTATATACATTAAAGGTCATAATTTAATGTTTAGACCAGGGTTATTCAACTAAATTGCTCCGGGGGCCACAGTTAATGCAGACCAATGGCACAGGGGCTGAACATCCAGCAATTAATGTCATTGTGTAAATAATCCAAGTATTACAAAGATCTGTTACCTTTGAAATAGTTTATTTTGCTGCATTTAATCATGAATACAACATACAGAACCCTATGTAATAAATGTAGTAATAGTAAAACATCAAAAACAAAAATAACATATTCTGCCTCCTATTTAACACAAATAATATTTTGACATCTCTGACTTGCCAACGTTTTAAACCAATTTTATTTTCACTTTTATAGTTTTATCTTCAACTGCTTGTAGTTCTAACTGTCTTAGATATTCATAGAGAAGTTTTTTACCAGCTTCTAGCCAAGATTCTGATGTTTATGTAGATTAATTAAAGTAGTTTTAAGCTTGGACTTAAGACATGAATGATCTATTGTCGGGCCGCATTTTAGTCACTCGCGGGCTGGATGTGGCCCACGGGCCACCAATTGAATAGCTCTGGCTTAGAGCAAGTAATTATGTTAATAGGTTTGTGTGTGCTTTTTTAAAATTCAATGYTATTTTATCGTGATTTCAATGAGCACATGAGGAACATAATTGCTAGCAGTGGAAAAAAACAAAAAACAAAAGAAAAACACAAAGCAATATTTGATATGGATTAAAAGATAAAAGCACAATAATAGTAGGAAAAAATTAAAATTAAAAATAATTCCCTCCCTAAATTTTAGTCTCTTAAAGTGAAAACTATGCATATTAAATGGGGTCACTTTGCATACTCAATAAATAAATAAATAAATAAATAAATAAAACTAGATATAAATGAGAAATTTGTGTATTTTGACTGTTCTGCTGGTTTCCTCTGCAATCAATGGATGGATGGACACATGGGCACCTCATCAACTGACAAATGAACGATCGGACGGATTGAGATCTTTTTCTGCCAAAACGTCCTGTGATTCTCTGGTTTCTGTGTTTTTCCTCTCAGATTAAAAAAAAAAAAACATTAAACTGAGCTGACTCTTCTCCACGTGTTGAACTACCTGATGTGTCAAAGGCCAAAAGGTTCTGGGAGGCACATCTCAGAGTCCCTGGTGTTCCTGTTTTTGTCTGAACGCAGGAAATGCCCAAAAACAATCACAGGAAACAGGAGTCATACGCCTCCTCCCCTCAGTCGGTTCACAAAGAYTTAAACACTCCAGAGAAAAATGTGCAAACCAATTCTTTAATGTTGGATTAATTATCAGATGAGTGTCGAATCTCAACAGGTTCAGGTAGAAATTCCCACTAAAGCTGAACAAAGCCAGTTCCAACTGAAAAAGTTCTGCAGAAACTGTGGTTGGCCCGAKAGCTCCTCAGGCAAAGCAGGTCTGAATGTTTGATTGTTGGATCTGATTCAAAGATCCTGACTTTGCCCACAGTACTCTATGAGGCAACAACTTTTATTTTGTATCGCCACAAATGACAAGTTAAATGCCTCAGGCTGAGATTTCCTCAGAACTTCTTAATGGTAGCTATGATTACAAAATAAATATGATAAAATGAAAGTATATTTATATTCAGGATATTTGTAGCATGAACCCCTTGATATGACTGGACCACCACCGGTTATGTCTCTGAAGTAACTGAACTCTGTCTGCAGATAATGCTGACATGACAATTTCAATCTTTTAAGATTCATTATAAAAAGAAAAATAATAATCATTGGCAGTTTTGTAACATGATTTTCATTTTTAAAGGTATTTTTATTTCAAATGTGTATTATATTACAAAAGATTATTTGTGAACCATCATTAATTTTCAAACCTGTGTAAATGTAACTGTTTCTTTTCCATGAACAGAAGGAAACACTTTCATATGTGTGTGTGTGTCTCAACACCACTCTGTCCAGTAAACATGAGATACCTTTCCCAAAATAAATGTGTTTTTCCTGACAGAGACGTGCAAACTGGAAGAAGATAGTCTGAGGTTAAATTTCTGCAGAAGCTGGAAGCTCAGAGAGCTGAGATGGGGGAGCAAACCATCTGAGGGAAAATGTAATTTTTAATTGKTGCAAAAGAGAAGTTTTGCCGACCCAGCTGGGTCTGATAGGGCTGTTTTGTGATGGAGGGCCAAGTCGTCCCAGGGGAATCTGTACAAACCTCTCTGTAATGACCTCAGGGCAGATCTGGATCAGGCTAGACCTCAGAGTCAGTGAGAGCTGGATGTCTCTAACTTTGGTGAGCTGACGAACTGCGCCTAATTTAAGGCATTACACGTAAAGTGTTCTCAGAACCGTCCTGGTTAAACAGTTGAGGCGACTTTGATATCATTCTTCTGATCTGCAGTAAGATTAAAAATTACTCATACTTAATCTGAACAAAAATCTTAACATCTTCTTTCCAAATTGACTTCAATGAAATTGATTCTTGCAACACTCCTGTAATAAATTACTATTAAAGACAAAGCTTGCTCCTCATCTTTGAGAATTTTTCCTGAGATAAGAATTCCCTGCAGATRATACAAATACCACACTTCGGTAAATTAGTTTGAATAAATAGGGTGAAAAAATATTGCACAACAACTGACTTGGTACGCCCTTTCTGTTTCTCTCTACCAACTCACTACATATATATATAAAACAACACATCCACGGTCAACAACATAAAACTTAGATTTTTGGTGAAGGATACGGTGAAGAATAAATCAAATAATTTGGATTAATGAAATGGCTCTTATTTTTTGTAGTCCGTGCTAGGGAGAAGCTAKTTAAAACTATTTTAGTGTTTGTTAGGAGGCAATCCAGTAGGACTTTAAAGTTCAGCAAAGTAGGGTTTGGTGGAAAGGATATAAACAAATAACATCTTACCTGTAATTTGAACAACCTCAATTAGTTTAATTCTAACATGACTGATGAGCTGCCGGCTAGTCAGAGCATTTCCATGGCTAAAGCGAATTAGTGCTGCTTTAAATATAATTATTTTTTCTTCACTCTGCACCCGTTTCATTCATGGCTTGATTTGTGTGTTGTTTTTTTTTACGTATAATCTTATTTTAATCTGTTTTTTTCTGTTTTTAATCTGTATATATATTGTTTGGTTTTATGAATGAATAAAATAAACAGAATTGAACTGACAGCAGCAAGCTCCAAAACTATTTAGCAGTTGATACTAAAGTAATTTTATTAACCGTTGCATTAACTGCCATCAATTTTCGGTTATTTACTTTGGTTTTTATGTTTCTCTACAAGAAAAATAGCTGCAGCAGCTAGCTCCAGTCCTGCTGTAATATTGTAAATTTTTGTAAAATGTAAACTGTAAAATGCAAATACTGACACCGGGGTGTTCTCTGAACCAGGGGTTCTTAAAATTGTGTCCCTTTTGTAAAAACTGCTGCCTATCAACCCCAGCAATAAACACTGCTATAAACTATTATGAAATTTTTGAGATTGCAATATTTCTAAAACAACGCCAATATGCTTTGGTCGTCAATCAGGTCAAAATCAAACTTTTTTCCCCAAAGATCTACAGCGGGTAGAATAAGTATTGAACATGTCACCATTTTTCTCAGTAAATATATTACTAGAGGTGCTAATGACATGAAATTTTCACCAGATGTCGGTAACAACCCAAGTGATCCATACATACAAAGAAATCAAACCATAAATGTCCAGAAATGAAGTTATTTGTAATAATGTGGGCTCATTGTCTTGCTGAGATGTCCAGCCACGTTTCATCTTGTTTGGCAGTACCATATGCTGAAAAACAGCCCCACACCATGATGTTCCCGCCTCCAAACTTCACTGTTGGTATGGTG